TTCTATAATAAGAAGTAAAGATATAAAAAAAAATCATAGAAATCAGGCAATTAATCATTAATTAAAAATTAAAAACCCGTCCCGCCCCTTAACCCATCGCAGACACAATGGAGGGGGGGGGGGTTATTACCCCCGGACAAAATTTTTAAATTATTTAAAAAGTATGACTAAGTAAAAAGTAAAAACACTTGAAATTTTAGCTACTTGCTCCAAATATTTAGGCGAATTTAAGTAAAAAAAAAAAATTCATTTGAAATGCCTAATCTGAGCATATTAGTCAAATCCATGGATCGATGCGGTCAAACGAATGACTGGTCAAAAACTTAAATTTTGAATTCTGGCTTTTCTTTGTAATCGTGAAGTTACATATTTTCCAAGAAGCTTTTTTTTATACTTACATATTTATAATTATTTCAATAAATGAAGTATGAGAAGTTGTTAGTCCAAGATCCTACTTTTTTGGATCTGGGTCATGATCCAATAAGTTAAACTAATTGAACCCAAATTTTCAAAATAGGTTAAGAAAAATAGAAAATTTAGTAAAAACCCAAGCACTGAAAGTATGATTTTCTAAATAACCCCCTCCCACCCTGTGCGAACAACTTATAAAAAATAGGTAAGCCTTAAAGCTGCTGCCCAATAACATTACCTACATAAAAATGCCCTAATTAAAAAACCTACCTATCAACCATGAGTTGTATTGAGGCTTTCTCTAAAACATTTCAAATTTAATAGTATCGTGTTAAAAATACAACAAACTTTCATACTTTAAAAATATTTATATATATATATATATATATATATATATATATATATATATATATATATATATATATATATATATATATATATATATATATATATATATGTATATATATATATATATATACATAATATGCAAAATAAATATATAACAATTTTCATTATTAATTTTTATTAATTAATTAGAGTATAGTTTAAATACAATAATAAATATTAATACAACAAAATTTATGCATATTTATGTTACCAAGTTTATAAAATTTTCATAAAATCCATAATATAAAATAATCATGATATAGCAACTATTTATATATTTCTTTAACAAAAATTAAAAAGATATTAGATTCTCAAACAGCATGTTCATTATAAGGAACATGCTGTTTGAGAATCTAATATCTTAATTTTTATCTAATATCTTAATTTTTGTGATTTGGAACGTGATTTAAATGCGCTAGTGACGTGATTTAAATGCGCTATTGGAAGGCATTATGAATTGCGGGAAAATAAATAGCACTTGAGTGCTATTTATTTTCCCGCAATTCATAATGCCTAATAATTTAAATCACGTCACTCTACGACTCAATTTACTCGGAAAGTCACGCACTTTAATGCACACTCTGATTGCGAGAAAAATTTTTAATTCAACTAGATTTTTTTGGTAATAATTTAATTTTAACGTAAGGGACAGATTGTCCCGGGCGGCAGATTTCCAAGGGGCACCAAATAGAATGAAGGTACCTTGGAGCAAAGGTCCTTTACCGATAATATAGGAGAATTTCGATAATTAGGAACGCCAATCATGTTGCTGTCCCGGGCGGCGAAACAGTTATTTCCAGCATTTTTTATATATATATATATAGTTATTTGTTATTATTTAATTTTTTTACAACACTTTCATTTATATACATTTAATAAAAATATATTTTAATTATTTTGTAATTATAATATATTTTTATTTATTTCCATACTTATAATGTTGTGTAGCGCAGGTGGTAAGGCACTAATGGTCTAGTGATCCGGGTTTCGAAACCCACCACCGATAAGTTTTTCATTTTTCAAAATAAATTTAAAAAATGGAAAATCTTACGAATCCTTTAAGATACCCTACAGGATAATCACAGGATTTCTTATGATCTTATAGGATTTGCAAGACAAATAAAATCTTACGAATCCTTTAAGATACCCTATGGGTAATCACAGGATTTCTTATGGTCCTACAGGATTTGAAAGACAAATAAAATCTTACAAATCCTGTAAGATATCCTGTAGGATAGTATAAGATTATATGCGATCCTATAAGACTCGTAAGTTGTCTGTAAGATAGTCGACTAGTGAACGAAAATGTAATTGGAAATGATGGAAGAAAAGACTGGACAAAAACTCCAATTCCGGATAAATATGGAAAACGTCACCCTAGACTAATAAAAGATGAGCATTTGAAACTAGACTAATAAAAGATGAGCATGTGTAACTAGACTAATAAAAGATGAGCATGTGTAACTAGGAAGTATTTAGGTGTAAACGGGATCTTGATATTGTTATAATTTAGTGAATATTTTTTAATTAAGGTTCAAAGTTATTTCAGAAACAATTCCATATGATTTAACTTGTGGGGCCCCACAGAAAATCAATAACGCTAACTTTAATAAAGAAACTTTAGTAAACTTTTAATGTAAAAAAAATGTTAAAACTACTACAATAACTTTGTAAGGAATCAATGGCGACGCTATGGCAAGTCCAATAGACATTGCAAATTGGCTAAGATCACTTTCAAAGGAATTTCAACAAAAATGAAGACAATGAACTGCAAAGTTTTATAAAACAAACTAAAGCCATTTGCATCCGGTTAAAATCAAGGTTAGTGATCTACCAGTTAATAAAACCGTTGCACAGTGTATTGCTTCATACAAGCTAGCTGGACAAAAATAATTTGTTTTATAACTTCATTTCTAAGAATGTAGTTAACAATATTTTGGTGTTTTATTGATTAGTTATGCAGTATGGTAACCTGGGGGACGCAGGGGGGCAATTACCCCGCTCGTTTAAGCTGTAAGGGGCGTCAAAAAGTCAATTTTACTATAAAAAGTATTTTTTTTTTATTTTATTGTAAAAAAGGCGATATTTCAATTACTTTTAAGTTTTTAAAAATTTTTTGCCTAAAATAAAAATATACTCACAACAAATATACAAAATATAAAAATATACTCACAACACTACGTAAAATAAAAAAATACTTTAATAATAATTAATTATTATCGGATGAATCATTGTTATTTTCACTACCCGATGAATCGGACTCTAAATAATCTTCATCCTCACACATAATTCTATTTTCAACAAGCTGTGGTGGTATTATAGGTGGGATAATTAAATACAAAACTTCCAACGGTAGTTACCAGTTTTCTTACTTGACAATTCTCTGTGTGAGTTGATGAAAGGATCTGATTTTACTAAAAGCATATTGAGCAAATCTATATTTGTGCAAATACGTGAAGTTTTTCTTGTATGGTGTTCGCGGAATCGACGAAAATCTTTATTACGGGCTTCTTGAGACTCTTCAGATAGTTGTCCTATTGGAAAAAGGCATGTTTTTATAACTTCCGTGCTATGTACAAGTATTTTGTGCACAGTAACAGGCATATAGTACCACGGATACAGATTAATATAAAGAGTTTTGGTTTCAGAATGAAGCTTTTCAAATTCGTAATAGTTAATATCATAGCCAGAGGAAAGTGTTTTTAATAAAATACTGAAATTTTTAATTTGAGATTCGTTGAGTCTTATAGATGTTGGAACAAGTTGAGAAATTTCTTTTAAAGCTTGGTTAGTTTCTGTTGTAGTAAAAAGATTTGTTTTTTTTTGAAAAAAAAAATTTAATTGGTCGGCAAAAAAGCGTGCATGAAGGTCGTGGATTTTGCCAAATAACATTTTGACCGTCACTCAGTCTCAATAGAGCAAATGAAAATGCAAACAGAAACTCATCAGTAGTATCAGAGTTTTTAAATCTCTGTTGGTATGTGCTGTGACCGGAGCTTCCATCACATCCCCATTTGCTAATTAGTGTGAATCCATCTACTTCGCCACTTTAGGCTTAGCAACTTTTAACACATTAGACATTTTATCTATTATGGCTCATATTTTACACCAAAATTTTTTGGTTTAATTTATTACTTTCACAATTCAAACTTTTGGTATCGAAATTGAGAACATTTAGTTTGAATGGGGTAAATTCGAAAATTCGAAAACTCAATTTTTAACGCATTTGTCAAAATAGATTCTTTTTGACAATAAAAATAAATATTTTATTAATATCAAAATTGTGTATATTTTATTATTTTTGTTGTCAACAATAAAAATGGCAGCAATAAGTTTACGTTGTATGTTTAACTAAAAGCAGTTAATACTTTTTTAGCATACTTTCTACTTTGAAGCATGTGAAATTTCTTTCGTTAAATTAATATTAACATATCTGTCTTTATATGTTAGATGTAATATCATTTTGTAACATAATCATTTAATATAAGGTTTTTTTTAATAAGAAAGTATAAGAAAATAAATGCTAAACTCTGACATAAACAGCAAGTCTAACTCTATGTAGGGTTTTTTCACAAAAAGGGGTATCTTCGTGTGGCCACATCTTCGTGTGGCCACCTGAAGATAAACAATCTTATGAAGTGTAACTTTTGTAATTGACAGTGTGAAAATTTAAATTTGTAAATTCTCCATTTAGTTTTATATATAAAGCTGGTCATTTTTTTATATAAGTCTGGCTCCTTGTTTGATGAATTTACTCATGCTTTCCAATTTTCAGAGTAAGTAAATATAAAATTAATAAGAAAGCTAGGTTAAGAATTTTGTTTTTTGTTACTTTAAAAACGTTTCGCTTTTTTTTACTGTTGGCATCACGTGATATAATATTCAAAACTTGATTGGTTTTCGCTTATGGCGATTCTCAAAAAGTCGAAATGAATCCGACTTTTTTTTTCGCAGCAGCGAAACGCAGTAGCGAAAAAAAAATCAGCATAATCGCCAAATATGTTTAATCTGCGCATGCTTATCGATGGAAAAAATTGCTTCGCGCGAATTTTTCGTCTTGTGGAAAACGGCCTTTACGAAACTGATTGAAATTCTGAAATATAGAACATTTTAAACAAAAATCTTTCGTGCTATGTATATAATGATTTTTAGTAGGGTGTGGCTATAAAAATAGCCGCTTAAATTCTATTATAACAAAAATTCTATTTGGTGCTTGCGTACTTTGTAACACATTTGGTTCCTTCGTTCACTGCGTGCTTTGCTAATTCGCCAGGAAGTATTAGGCGTACAGCTGTTTGAATTTCTCGCGAAGAAATAGTTGATTTTCTGCTTTGATTGGAAAGTCTCGATGCTTCAGACGCAATTCGTTCGAAAATATCGTTGACAAAGGTATTCATGATTGTCATCGCCTTAGAGGAAACTCCAACATCAGGGTGGACTTGCTTTAACACGTTGTATATGTAAACAGCGTAAGACTCTCTTCTTTTTTTTTTGCGTTGATTGTCTCCTTCAACAGCATCTTTTATTTTATTGTTGACTCGAATCTCTCCCTTTTTTGCCACATTAGGGTTAACGGCTTTTGACTCCTTATACATTTTGATAAGACCAAAAAGGATTTAATGTTAGAGATTTCTTTGCAGTTTTAATTTATCACATTTGCTGAACAAAGTTGTGGTTTCCAAATCGAGAACATAAATTTTAAAACTAGCGAACTAGAAAATTCGAAAAATCGATTTTATGTAAAAACTGTTATCATAAATAAAAAAAATATATTACGCCGCTTCTGAATTCTTTTTCTTTTTGTTTACTTTAATGAAAAATGATAAAATGAAAAATAGATCTTTTTTCGCACTAGTATTATTAAAAAAAAAAAAAGAATAAATATTTGGTGGGATTTTTGAATTACGGTGTATTTGCACGACGTACGTTGTATTTTTGATATACATTTGCTCTTTCTTATTATTATACAAGAAGTCATGCCCAAAAACTTAATTCACGTATTAAATATAAAAATGGTACACAAAGTTTTTTCGACTGTGAAAAAATTATCAAGATATGGAATTCTCTACCTAATCTTATTGTTTACTCATCCATCCGCTTTGTCTTTGTTCAAAAAAGTACAAATTTCATCGCCATTGCACACTTAACTAGTTGTTGTTGTTTTTGTTCGGTGTTACATGGAAATAATTTTGATATTACCTGTATCACCTTTTGTATTTCTTATTTTTAAATGCAAACAAATCAGAAATAATAATTTTGATTTAAGGCGTTTTTTCTTGTTTCGTTGATGGTATTACGATTTATTATATAAAGTCAAGGTATTACGATTTATTATATAAAGTCAAACTTAACGGTTGTTTATTTTTAAAAAGACGAGAAACTAGTCAAGATTATTGTGTTATCAGACCGTCTAAAGCACGGCACAGATTTTGTTCCGTGTTTCAGATTGCTTTAAAAATTTATCAGTAAAAAATGTATCCATTAACTTGTAAAATAAATAATAATTACACGGCCAGAGCAAAAGACTATTTATCTTATTATTATTAGGGCCGCCGAGAGGGATAGCATACGAGCCTCGGGCGCCAAGATAATAGGGACGCCAAAAAGACGAAAGGCAAATAGAAACTTAATGAGAAATTTAAAAAAATAAAAAAGTTTTTATTGATGAGGTATGAAATAAATTTTATTTTACTTAGTAATGCACATAGCAATTAACTTTGCCTTAATATGACGGATCCAGAAATTTTGGGTGGCCAAGGATGATGTTGAAATATTTTTGTATTTTGTATCACATTTACGTCTTCTAAAAAAAAATGGTCCTCCATTACTGCTTAATTATATCATATCATAAAAGGATTATAGTTTTAAATAATATATCTTCTTTCGTTAATTGGTGAGGACAAACCAAAAAAAAAAAAAATTTAATTGTTTTTTATATTGAAGACATTAAAGTAGTCACTAGATCTTATCCAAACAAAACATTTTTTTGTTAAAAATAAGCGTTGTCAGGTAATTTTAGAAAAAAATCATTACTTTTAAGATATTCTGAAAGAAAATTTAATTACAGTTTTAAATAGCAAAATTAAATTAATAAAACTTAATTAACTGTAAGATTTTAAACTAATTTTAAGCTAAGATTTAACGACTACCTAAAGAGTGTTAAAGTCTCAACGCAAATCAAATGTCACAGACTTATAACTACAAGCTGGTGTTTCTCACCCATACCGTGCAAAGTGATGGAGACACATGTCTATAGAATCTTTTAAAGAAGTTGTTGTATGACCCTGTGTTGAATGTTTTAGCAAAATCGGTAAAATTTATGTAAACCAGATGTCCACGGTAAACTGCTGCCTTTAAAATGTTTTTGGATTTAATCAGGTTTGTAAGTCAGCATTTCTCAGGGCCGACGACACGGGTTTTGAAGTGGGGGGCACAATCATCAATTTGTGAAAAAAGTCCTCTATATCAAGATTTTTCTTTAAAAAAAAAAAAAAAAAAAAAATCTTTAGAAAAAAAGTGGGCGGCACATCACAAACAGGGCCGGATCTGGTATTTAAGGTCAGCTATTAAATTGGATCATTGGTTAGCTAGCTTATAGAAAACGACGAGTAAAAATTGAAAAATTAACGTCCGAGTAGGAATCAGTGACAAGTAGCATTCCACACGGATCAGTTTTTACATCACTGCTATTTGTGTTCTTCATCAATGACTTACTAAAATGCCTTCATAACCATACTAATTTATACACCGATGATGACAACGTCACATGAGTTATCGATGTGAATTAATTTTTCTCTGATTATAAAAATCTGCATGCTAACATCGATAGTGCTGGTCGCAGAACTGCCATGTAAATTTTAAACGTCGAGAAGCGTAAAGTAACATATGTTGGTTGTCACAAAAGTAATGAGTAACATCATAGTTAGATTGAAGGTAACTAATTCAATCTTGTTTCAGAATGCATAGAGCAAGATCTTGGAGAACTAATAAACCTCAAAGTCAATGTACAAGTAAAATTAGCAGCTTGGGTAGACAATAAAATGCTTAGTAGTGTCAAGAAGTCATTTGGTGTTGGAGCTTTCTAGCTATGGAAAAAAACTGTACCTACATTAAGTACCGCATCTCAAGTTTTGCGTGCAAATCCTGGTCATCTTTTCTCAAAAATGTATCTTTACAAGCTTTCGTACATCAGACGTTCAGTTCAGAAAAAACGTTGCCGCTATAAAATTAATAACTAGCTAAACGACCATGGAAAATTATTGCTACTCTAAAGCCCTTTCTTTAGCTTTAACCAACTTATCGACCCTTGACAACTTGTCTTGGCTATGAAATAGAATTTTTGGAAAAACAAATGACGATAGCGATAAAATAGAATAGAAATGCAGTTTTTTTTTTCATAAGTTCCCCGAACATGAAGCTTGAGTTGAATTTAACATTGTACTTTGTTATTTCATTTAAAAAATTCAATTAAAAATTAGGATTGTGAAAAATGTTTATTAAAGATTCATTTAGTTAAAAGATCAAGAACTGGTAAAAATTAAAGCTTTTGAAATAGAACACAACTTTATCAAAGATATTTTACATCCTTATAGCTTGAAGAAGTTTTCATTTTAGTAGTTTCATTGAGTAGTTATTATGTGAATTTCAACTTTTTAAGTATTTTTTAAACGTGTACTTTTACTTAAGTATTTTTTTTCTAAAGTTTTGTACTTCGCTACATTTGAAATCATATGCGTTACTAAATAAAAAAAATTATTATGTATTGTTTAATTTCCCAAATACTATGATTTAATTTTTTGTTTTTTTAGAGTTTAGCTAACTTTAATAAAAATGACACTTTTAAATTGTTAAAAAAAAAAGAAATGTTGAGCGCGCTCATAAAGACTTTTATTTGCTTTAGCTTGGTTTCTTTTCAGTTTTTACGACCTGTCACGGAGAAAACAGTCCGCAGAGTAAACTGTCCGGCCGGACAGTTTACTCCGGAGTAGAATGTCCTAGTTGGTCCTATCCGTCCGGTTAGGACAATTTACTCCGGAGCAAACTGTCCTACGTTGGAGTAAACTGTCCTACCAGAGTTGCTAAAAAGTCGAAACCTAAAACGCCGGAAAACCGAAATGCCAAAAACAAACATAAAATTCTGTTTCCTTTTGGGTAAGGAAACACAAAATTCTGTTTCCTTTTGGGTAGTTTTTTGCAACGGAATTGCCAAATGTTTTGAATGTTTTGAAAATGTTTATCACAACTTAGGTACATATATTATAAAATAATTTTGAACCGTTACTGTCTGCTCTTTGATGAAATGTAAAGAGAAGTTATTGACAAGTTATTGCGCATTTTACTTGTTTAAAAGTATAAGTCATAATTAATTTACAGAATAAACACAAACAGTTTGTTTAAATATCAATAATAAACGTTTATTGGTATTTAAACAAAACTGTTTGTTTAAACCTTTCACTGGCAATTGGTGTCTAAATGTGAAAAGAAAAGCTTAAGTTGTTGTACTCAATGGTTTTCTTTCCAGACACTGCTGAACTTAGATTTATGGATGTTTTAGCCTAAGAAAATATAACTTCTATGTAAAATGGAAAAGTTCACTAATATGTTTTTCCTGTGATATTACAGTTAGAGTCTTTAGAGTTAATTCAGCATTTACAGGTAATTTTTTTGTTTTATAATTAGGTAAAAATATATTTTCGATTTTTAAAACCTTGATAAAAAGTAAATATAAACTATAAATAAAAAGTAATAAAACACAAAAACCATAATTATAACCTAATTTTTTAAATCAAATCTTAACTTTTGCTTGAACATCTAAATTTCTCTTATACATAAAACACTTAATTTCTCATTAACAACTTAGTAGCTTACTTTCAGATCATTAATAAGGATTTTGATCATCTCATTCTAGTGATGATTTTTTAACAGTAATTACCAATATGTTTTATTGTGCATTAGATAGATGCTTTAGGGCTATTGCTCTTAACACTTTAAAGTCTTCGATAAAGTCTTCCATTGTAGTCTCTTCTTATGTAGATGTGATTTGTGTGACGTGGAGAATTATATTAAATTATTGAATCATTCCTTAGCAGTTTTAGTATAAAGATTGTCCTTCCTTGATGTTCTATTCTTGGTTTTTTATTATATTGTTTCTAATCTACGTTAATGAACTTCTCTATAATCTTACATCTAAGGTGATATTTATGCTGGTGTTACCACCATTTTTTCTTAGCTTGATAAAAACGCAACACTCTCTGATTTCTTGGAGGGGCATTACAGCTTATAAATGATGTCATCACAGCTATAGCATAAAGCTTTCAGTGCTTGGATAATTTTGAATTTAAAATTAAGTTATTTCAAGCTAAATCTAGATGCAATAACATGTATCTATAAACGAATGAATGAATCATCTACTTAGTGTCTTCTTGGATTATTTCTTACTTCTAATGATTCTTGGAAATTATTTGTAAAATTGATTGCAAAGTTAGCATCTGCTAAGGTTGCATCTGTTTTTCGTGATCCTTAGTGATGTACCAATTAATCAGCATCGACTAAATTAACCACTTTTTGCACAATCGGCATTGGTATTGGCATCAGC